TAAAACAATTTTAAGAAAAATCATTTTAAAGATAAAAAATTAGTCTGCGTTAACCAAAGATTCATTTTTAAGGGACCCCCACATTGTCCAAAATTAGTACATGATCGCTTATACATTGTCATAGTGATGGAATTTGTATATTTGAGTCAAAATTTAAAGTATGACCCTTTTTATTGAACATTGATTAATTTTTTTGATTTATTTATTTATTAAGGAAATTCCATATTTTGAGAAGAAATCACGGGATTCGTACGTCCTCCAATAGGAAGGCTATCCCATTTATCTTTTCCCTATATGATAATATTCTCATTATTTATTTAGAACCTCAAATTAAACATGAATCGAATATAAATTAAAAATAAATTAAACAACATACTAAAAAAGCACATTGTCATTATTAAAAAAATATTGTTTTCGCTATTTTCATTTTTATCAAAGCATACTCGATTATTTTCATGTTCACTTTTCGTTTGAATGTCATATTAAATCGTGCTACTTCTAACAAGTTGCACTTTTCACGCCCATTCTATAATAAACGTTCTTGAAAATTCATACGAGTACGAAATAAGCTTAGCGATGATTATTATCAAAATTTAAGGGTATTTTACTACTCTAAGCAATAATATGCATTATTATAATACAATTATAATAGTATGAGGACTAAAATATAAAAGTACTAAAGTTAGAAAACACCAAGACATAGATTATCAAATTCATACAAACTGAAACTAAGAAAGAACTACAGAACATAAGCTAAAATTCATAATGACATAAAATGTAGGTATGGAAGTGCAATGAAACGCTATACATGTAGGACTAAAATAAAATCCCTGAGAAATTAAAGGCTTGAAACAAGAAAAACTAAAACTCCATTCAAAGTCTAAAATAAAAATAATACAAATAAAGAAGGACTTAACTTACGAATAATCTAACTGCTACAAAACCATGGCCCTAACCCTAAACCTTAGCAAAACCACATCATTTAAAAGTTTTTTAATAAAACTGTACTTGAGTTAAAATCAAAACCCTAACTAATCCCCAAATATCTTTACTGCCTTTTCCCTCCCTCCCTCCCTCCCCATTCTCTTCTTTCTTTCATTCTTTAGCATGCAACATGCAACATGCAACATGCAACACACAAGATGGAGACTACTCATGGCCGCTTCACACAAATAGTTTCCTTTTTCGCTCTCTTAGAAATAAAACAAGTAAAATCAGAGGCCTTTCTCTCTCTCCTTAAAAACTCATCTTTGAACCCTAAATAAGCATATCTAAACCCTAGATACAAAACATCTATTTTTCTTTTTTTTCCCACTAGTTTCCTTTTTTGTGTTCAAATTATGGGTCTTCTTTCATTTTTTTGTTGTTGTGAATGGCTTTTTTTGTTGCTCTGGTTTTTAGTTTGATGATGCTTTTTTTCTGTTATTGGTTTATGGTTGCTTGAATGGCCTTTTTCTTCTCTTTTTCTTTTTTGAAATATTCTTTTTCTGGTTCTTTGATTTGGTTGAATGTTATATGGTGAGTTTCTTACTGTAGATAAGGCCAAAGATGACAGAGGAATATGGACATGGCAATAGGGTGTTGCTCGGTTGGTGAGGAAAATATGGGTTCCAGGGTTAAGATATATATATATATTTGACTTGATTTAATTTTTGGTTAGGTGAAGTAGCTGAATAGTGGTGGTTCGGTGATGGTTGAATTACTCCTATAATGTTGTGAAAAAAATTATTGGTTGAAATAAGATCTCATCAGAATTATTTTCTGGTCTAGTGTGAATGCTACAATACTCGTCGAAAGTAGTCGAGAACACAATACAACTTTGAAAAGTCGCACTGCAGTTAGTGCGTCTCCCCTGCCCCCAATTTATTCAAAGTCTACATTTGCAACCCCTCTACATTTCAATTTAAGTGTGTCTCTCCCCCGCCAATTTATTCAAGGTCGCATGATGGTCCTCGCGTCACACGTCAAAGTCGCACTGTGTTCCTGACGACTCTCTAGTTACTGTAGCATTTACACCATCTCGATAAATAATTACGGTGATACCCTAATTCAACCAAGATTTTTTTTCAAGAACCCTACAACAGCAAATCAACCCTTGGTGACTAATTGATGACAACAATAGCAATAATCGGAGCTGGCGGCAGCGGTGGGAAGCCGAGGTGTGCGTGGAATGCTCTAGCTGCGACTACTGATGGTTAACGCCAAGCTAGGGTTAACCAAGATGTTAACATAATAGGCCATTAGGGTTTGTTTGTACTTGGGCATGTTTTGGATCTTAGACTTGGGTATGTTGTATTGATTCAATTTGTAATGGGCCAACAAAAATAAATATAAATAGTATTAATATATAATATTCTTATATATTTGTTCGTATGTAGTTAATTAAACTAATTAGTAACTTAATTTATTATAGTAATATATAAATATTAAATATTTAAAAGTTAAATAAAATTAATAGAAAAGCTCGAATTAGGAATTGGACGAAAATGGGGGATGAATACTTCAACGAATTAAGTCAAGTAAAAATTTGAATTTGTTAAGTTGGTGAGTTTTTTTAAGACTAAACTTTATTTTTCTCTAGTCTAATTTAGAAAATTTGAGTCAAATTAAGTTGAAATTTTGAATTTATTTAAATTTAATTATAAATATTTATAATTTGATGATATTATTCAAATTAAATTGTAAAATTAATTTTTTAATCATATAAAATATATTTCCCATATTTTTATATTATAATGATATTTAATAAATTAAATATTATTTAAAATTATAATATGCATTTGTAATTTTATCTTATAAAATATTTTGTTGATAAAACATGGATGAGTGTGAAAAAAACTAAAAATTAATAAGAAAAATGAAATCGTAAAAATATTTTTAAAAAAGTAAATTAAATAAAATATATACTTAAGGGATTAAATGTCCGAAAGAGTGAATTTATTATTAAAAAATGGAAAAGCGAATTTGTTATTAAAAAATAATTAATATTTGATTGAATCGAATGAAATTTGAAATTTTGAAATCTTGTTATATTTTCTTTAATTTCTTTTAAAATTCAAAATTTATTTAAAATTTGTTGGAGTCAAATAAAAATATAAAATTAGGATAGTTAAATTAATTTCTAAATTGAATCAAATTTTCTTTTCCCATTATAAGCCAAACTGTATTTACGCAAAGTCAGTGGGATTTTTATTTAGGTTGCCATCAGCCATCTCATATTCTAAAGGCTTCAAACCACAAAAGCTAAATTTGGAAATAATTGTACTCCAAGACATTAGCATTCCACAGAAAATAACGTTTAGATAGCTTTAGCCGACACTACATCATCTACTGCAATGATTAATTCAAAAAAAAAAAACAAGTAATACGTTTCAGTCTACCATGTTCATCAACTCATGCATATGCAGATGCTCCTGGGCAAGTTAAATCTGGTCATTTTTTGCACATCATATGAAATATTCATGTTTAAAACACAGAATCTATCATCCATGCTTGTAGTAGGTGCAACTGAAAAGCCTATTTGATATTAGAGTGTAGCTGAGTCTGGTTTATCCTTGATGATTAACAGCGGTAAGTAAGAACTAAGAAGTAGCTGGAATGAAAATACCCGAATCATTTGTACAGTTGCTTAAAAGGAAGGTGGGTCAAAAGTCGTCTTCCCTTGGCTTTGCCACTCATCCATGGCTTCTATTTGTTTGGACAGAGCTGTTCTCACCTACCCCAAATGTGCATGCCCCTGTGAGGAGCCTTTCATGCCAATAATCACCACCTTCAATTTAATTGGTTCATTGCCGAGCTGGGGCCTTTTTTCTTATCATGTATGGTTTGCTGTAATCACCAACCAAAATGTGTAATGCAATATTCTAGCGACTCGGTTAGAATATGAGCTTATTTTAGGATGTCTAGTGCCACCTATAATATAAAAAAAAACGTTCCTAATGTTTGTCTGAATCATTATTACGATCATATTTTTATTACTTTAACTCGTTTCGTTTCGAGATAAAATGACCTATGATGAATAAAAATCATTAGTTGACTAACAATTAACGATTGTCACTAATGTGAGACTGTCACGTCATCATTTTCGACATTTGATACATGTCATCAATTACAATTTGTGACATGCTAGTAGCGAATCCAAAAATATTGTTTTAGAATAGACACATATTAATAATACAAAAATTTTGTAAGTGTGGGTACAAATAAAACTTCAGGTGGACATAATCAATATAACAACTAATTAATCTAAGAAAATTTAGATTTCAAGGTAGACACTTGTCCAACCTGGAAATGATTTACATCCACCATTTTGTGTCACATTATTACTTTCAACACGTGATATGTGTTACATTATCATTTTTGACCCGTGATATGTGTCATATCATTACTTTCGACACATGATAGTCTTGTATTAGTAACGTGTATTGACCGTTGGTCAACTAATATTTCCATCCAACTAGAGGATATTTTGTTTTAAAATGAAACATGGGGCTAAAGTGCTTAAAAGAAAAAGAAAAAGACCAAATTGACTATTTTATCAAAAACTAAGGATAAAATTAAAACATTATACCTATTATTATCGGATATATTGGGAGTACACAAGATTCAAGTGCACAGTGTGGGGATGATTATCTTCAGTGTTTACTTCAAAGGTATAGACATCTGAAGCAGCATGGTTATCATAGAATGCATCTTTCAAAGGTTCCACTGATCTTAAGCTTAGAAATGGTGAAATTTTGTGTACAAAGATAAGGTGGAGGGACATAACAAGGACAAAGCTTAGATTAATTGACTTTAATGGCACTCCACAGTGAACATTGGGGCCATTGGTTGGTGGTAATTCTCTGCTTTCTCAAACCTGTAACATCTTATTACCTAATCAACCAAACATGGACTCAATGGTAGTTCAATCTTGTCTCTATATAAACATGCATATCTCTACAGGTTTTTTTATAAGCTGAATTTCAATTACATCATCAATATTTTGTCTTAACTGAGACATGGGTACTTCAGCTGTTTTATCATCAATTTTCATGACATTTTTTGTTGCTGTTGGCTGTTTCATGGCCTATCGTGATGTTGTCACTGCAAAACAAGCCAGCATTACCAGGCACTATACGTTCAACGTATGTATTGTTGCATTGTTTAATTTAGGTAACTTGAGATGAAAGTCGTTTGATGTAGTCCTCAAGAGCTCATTCAATTTCCTTTTGTAGATAAAGCTGAAAAACATCACTCGCTTGTGTCATACTAAGAGCATTGTCACGGTTAACGGGAAGTTCCCTGGACCTCGTGTTGTTGGCAGAGAAGGTGATCGCTTGGTTGTTAAAGTAGTTAACCATGTTCCATACAATATCAGCATTCACTGGTACATGAAGCCATTCAATTTCTTAACTGATATAAGTTGTTTACATTTCTATGGCTAAATTAATGTCTGTATGCAGGCATGGAATTAGACAGCTTCGGAGCGGATGGGCGGATGGGCCATCGTACATCACGCAATGCCCCATTCAAACCGGACAGACTTATGTGTACAACTTCACCATTACTGGCCAACGAGGCACTCTCTTCTGGCATGCCCACTTCTCATGGCTTAGAGCAACTGTTTATGGACCACTTATCATCCTCCCAAGGCGCAATGAATCTTACCCTTTTGTCAAACCCTACAAACAAGTCCGGATCTTGTTCGGTAATGTTCTGTGAATCACCAGTATCGTGCATCGCTGCAATTTATGTTGTTCTTCGATGACAATTTAACTCAAAGTTTAACTGCATGTGAGTGGTTTAATGCTGATCCAGAAGCAGTCATCAATCAGTCTCTTCAAACAGGGGCTGGCCCTAATGTTTCAGATGCCTACACCTTTAATGGCCTCCCAGGTCCATTGTACAATTGTTCTGTCAAAGGTATACATATACATATACATATTCATTACACATATACGTATATTCTTATACTCAATTTTTTTTACAGATACGTATAAGCTGAAGGTAAAGCCTGGGAAAACATATCTTCTGCAATGGATCAATGCTGCACTTAATGATGAGCTATTCTTCAGCGTTGCAAACCACAGTTTCACTGTGGTGGAAGCCGATGCGGTCTATGTAAAGCCATTCGAAACCAATATATTAATGATAACACCCGGACAGACCACGAATGTTCTTCTGAAAACCAAATCAAAAGCTCCGAATGCGACTTTTTTTATGTTAGCCAGGCCATATGCCACTGGCATGGGCACCTTTGATAACACCACTGTGGCTGGTATTCTTGAATACGAAACATCATCTCTCACCGGTTTAAAAAACCGTCCACTTCTTAAACCAGTTTTGCCTGCCATCAATGCAACAAATTTTGTAGCCAATTTTGCAAGCAAATTCAGAAGCTTAGCCACTACCAAGTTCCCTGCCAATGTCCCACAAAAAGTTGACAGAAAATTCTTTTTCACAGTTGGTCTTGGAACCAACCCCTGCCCCAAGAACCAAACCTGCCAAGGACCGAACGGCACGAAATTCGCAGCTGCCATGAACAACATCTCGTTTGCGCTCCCCACAACTGCACTTCTCCAATCTTACTTTTTCTCGCAACCTAACGGGGTTTACACCACTGATTTCCCAGCTTTCCCTCTACATCCATTCAATTACACAGGAACACCACCTAACAATACACTTGTGAGCAATGGCACTAAACTCGTGAGGATACCATTCGATACGAGCGTGGAAGTAGTGTTGCAGGATACGAGTATCATTGGTGCTGAGAGCCACCCTCTCCATCTCCATGGCTATAATTTCTATGTTGTAGGGCAGGGTTTTGGCAACTTTGACCCTTCAAATGACCCTCCAAAGTTCAACCTGGTTGATCCTGTTGAAAGGAACACTGTTGGTGTTCCCTCTGGTGGTTGGGTTGCAATCCGTTTTATGGCAGACAATCCTGGTAACAATATATCATAAACTTTCATCTTCAAAACATGATAAATATACGCATTTAGTGATATGTATAACATAAAATGGTGCAGGAGTTTGGTTGATGCACTGTCACTTTGATGTTCATTTTAGCTGGGGATTAAGAATGGCATGGATTGTCTTGGATGGGAAGCTACCAAACCAGAAGCTGCCTCCTCCACCGTCTGATCTTCCCAAGTGTTGATTTTGGATTTGAACCACGAAGCTTGACCTTCATACATGCATACATAATTACCCTTAATTTCCCCCCTTTTTTGGTTCCCTTTTGAATCATTTTGTTGGGAGAGTTTTTTTTTTTGGCAAACTTATATAATGGATTTTTCTGTGTGTTGTTTTGCATAAACCAACGTTGGCATTGAAAAATGTTTCATTTGCTTCGTTTAATCTGCCTGTCTTGTGAGTCCTTTCACCAACAAAAATGGCGGGGCTGCTTTTGTATTTGTACAAACCCAGAGCTTCAATGCAACTGTTGGGACTATATAATAATAATAATAATAATAATAATAATAATAATAATTCCTATAAATATCTCACTATATATCTTTTTCTTATTAACACCTATTTTTCAAATAAAAATATTTATGTATTTATTTCACATCAGAATATGATAAATTTTAATCTTGAAATTCAGGTTAGATAAAATATTATTAAATGTCAAAATAAATCGACTAATATTAAACTCTACCCTCTCTATAATAAATTAATTTATTATAAACCTATATACTAAAATTTCAAAAATAAATAACACATCCACCAATTATAGAACAAAAATTTAACATTATGAATAATATAAATGAATTAAATAATCTCTTTAATCATCGTATATTATTTAAAATTTATTTGACATGAGTAATAAATATGAAAAAAAATTAAAAATGTATAATTAAAATTTATAATGAGTTTATTTATAAGGATGATTTTTTCATGCTCAACGAGCAACGATGAGTACCATTAATTTAATTTATAACATTAATTTAATTTATAAAATTTTAAAATTATAAATTACTCAACCTAAGTTATAATTTAAAAAATAGTTAAAAATCTAAACATAAATTATTTAGGGTAAACTACTCATTTAGTACCAAAAGTTTTACTTTTGATACATTTTGATACCTGAACTTTTAATTTTTACAAAATCATACCTAATGTTTAATTTTTCTTTCATTTTGATACACATCGTTAAAAACTTAATAGCATAGCTGACGTGGCATAACATGATAGTCTTTTATTATTTTTTAAGTTATCACATCAACAATCAAATAATATATTTTTATTAATTTTACTCGGCCAATAGGGTGATAGTTTTTTTGTTTTAAAATTATCACATCAACAATCAAATAATATGTTTTTATTAATTTTACTTAGCCAATAGGTGATGAAACGTGACATCATGAAATAAAACCAACAAAATTTCTGCATAGCTAGAGAATTGAACCCGTGCCCTCCGGGTAAGACAATAAAAGGTTAGTCACTAGGCTAAGCAAGTTAACAGTTAATAAACCTCCACAACTTATATTTAATTGTTTTTTCATTACCACCATAAAACAAGAAATTCTAATTAAATACTAAATTATTAAATTATTTTAAAAATATAAAACATTTTTCATTATAAACCAAATTGCTTAATTAAAAATTAAATTATTTTAATTTTATTTTAGTATAAAAAATAATTAAATATATATTTTTAAAAAATAATAGTAAACTGTTTTAAAAATTAAATTTAAAAAATACTTATTTATGATCATATAATATAAATTTAAATTAAATAAATATTAAAAATTAATTTTATCATAAATAATTTAAAATTTTATATTTATTTAATTAATATTAAACTAATAGAAGATTTATGAAGTTCAAAAATAGTGTTTATTTTAATTATTTAATATTTTATATAGTTTATACTAAAACATATATTTTATATTTTTAAATAATTTAGTCTTTGATTATACAATTATATAAATTAAATATAAAATTAATATTATATAATTAATTTTATACACTAGCTTAATGATTTGTACACTATTTTTTCTTAGAGGGAAGTCCTAAGTTTGAGTCCTAATTTTAATTAAAATATCTTGTTTGAGTCCTATGGTGTCGAGAGGAAAGAATATGATCCGTAAGCCTCAGGTTCTTCAAGTCACATGCTTTGAAAGTGATGGTTAATGGAACCTGGACTCTTATTCCTCTTCCTAAATATAGGCATGCTGTCTACTGCAAGTGGATTTTTAAGGTGAAGAGGAATTCATATGGGATAATAGCTAGATACAAGGCTCGACTCGTTGCAAAAGGGTTTTCTCAACAATATGGTATTGATTTCCATGAGGTTTTTAGTCCGGTGGTTAAATCGACTACTATTGGAGTCATAATTTCACTTGCTTTGGCAAAAGGATGGCAGCTTAGGCAAGTAGAAATTAATAATGCATTTTTTAATGGCACTTTGACTGAAGAAGTTTACATGACTCAGCGTGCGGGGTACGAGCAAGGTGATGGCAGCTTGGTATACAAGCTTAATATAGTAATCTATGGGTTGAAGCAGACTCGTCAGGCTTGGTTTGAGAGTCCTAGGGCATATCTAATCTCTGAGGGTTTTATTCTAACAAAGTCAGACTCTTCTCTCTTTGTTAGGAAGATTGAGAGTAGCGTGGTGTACATGTTGGTATACATTGATGCCATAATTATTACTGGGAGTGATGAAAGTAAGGTTCAAAATATGATTGAGAAGTTGAATGAACAGTTTTCTTTAAAGGACCTTGGTATCCTTAGTTCTTTCTTAGGAATCGAGGTTTGCTATGATTCTGATGGCCTTGTGTTGAGTTCACAGAAATACATTCACGAGCTGCTGTAGAAGAATGGGTTTGATGATGCCAAAGAGCTTCCTACTCTGATAGTGACCAACCGCAAGTTATCAACAACTGGTGCTCCTATCAACAATGTTCAGCAGTATAGAAGCATAGTTGGAGCTTTACAATATGTTGTTGTTACTCGACTAGATATTGCATTCTCATTCAATCGAGTATGTCAACTTATGCAGGCACCGCTTGATGAGCACTTTTGAGTTGTTAAACGGATTTTGCGTTACCTTCAGGGCACAACTGATTATGGTTTATGATTCACAGCAGGGTCAAGATTGTCTTTGACTGAATTTGCTTATGCAAATTAGGGATCAAATATTGATGACAAGCCTTCTACCTCTGGTTATTGTGTCTATTTTGGGGATAACCTTGTTTCTTAGAGTTCCTGTAAGCACAAGTTATTGCTCGGTCGACTACCGAGGCTGAGTATCTGAGTGTGGCCTCAACTGCTGCTAACATGGTGTGGGTTGAGTCCTTGCTCAAGTAGTTGCATGTGGCTTTTCATGGGCGTACAACATTGTGGTGTGACAATTCAAGTGCAGTGATTGTTTGTGCCAATCCAGTTCTTCATTTCAAATTTAAGCATGTTGAGATTGACTTGTTCTTTGTTCGAGAGATGGTTGCAATTGGTAAGTTGCAGGCTCATGAAGTCCCGACCTATGAACAGGTGGCTGCTGTTTTAACAAAGTCGTTGTCTTCTCCTTTATTTCTTAAACATAGGCAGAAGCTCTTGGTTACTCAACTTCGAACGTCAAAGGAGTTTTCAAAGGGTGAAGCAGCAAGGGGAATGTGAGTGGAGAGCGTGTAAGAGGCTTTAGACGTTGGGTGAATGTTAGTGTTGTATTGTGTCAATACTGGTATGCATGCAGTTGAGAGCTTGTTAGGATTTCCGTTATGCATGCAGTTACGTGCAGTTACACCAGCTTTGTATAAATAGCCGGTTTTTATCAGCTTTGTTAGGATTTCAGTTACGTGCAGGTTGTATTAATAATATTCAGAATAATTTGTTCATTTTCACGCGGTGTCCTAAATAAAAAAGTTAGCATTTTATGCCTCAATTATATAAGTAAACTGATGGAGCCTCTGTTGTGAAATTCGGGTTAATTTCCACCAATAACAGATTCACCGTGAAAACTATTATCTAGGTGACTAGTGTGAAAACGATTGTACTAAAAATCACCCCAAGGTAGATTCCCAGGAAAGAGGAGGGGTCACAATGGTCCCTCTTAAAACCCACTTTCCTTAGACAGAACTACCAAGACAAGTAATTTTAATAGGACAATAATTGACAACAACTATACCCGACAATAGCTATTAAATAGACATAAAAGAGAACACCAAAATATTTCACTAATAGAGGAAATATTACAAAGAGAGAAAGAATACAAATAGCCTTTAAAATAGAAGAAGGCTTATATTTGTGGGATGATTAACTAAGGAGGAGGAGGGCTTTATTTATAACAAAAGAATTTCCCCTCCTCCTTATACACAACCAATGTGGGACTTTTGCCAAAAACCAACAAATCTCCACCTTGGCAAATTCCACACACATCTCTAAAAAACAATCTTTTAATTTGTAACAATATTGACCAAATCTAAACAATGTTTAAACTTGACCGCAGTTACCACTTTTGTCAACATATCAGCAGGATTCTCAGTGGTCCGAATCTTCTGGATTATGACTCCACCTTCTTCTAGAATCTCTCGTACAAAGTGATATCGAACATCAATATGCTTCGTCCTTGCATGGTAAACCTGGTTCTTTGCTAAATGAATAGCACTCTGACTGTCACAGTGCACTTTGATGTGCTTTTGTTCTATTCCCAATTCACCAAGCAACCCTTGAAGCCAAATTGCCTCCTTCACAGCCTCTGTAACTGCCATATACTCTGCCTCTGTAGTAGACAAAGCCACTGTTGACTGTAAGGTGGACTTCCAACTGACTGGTGCCTTTGCAAATGTAAACACATAACCAGTAGTTGATCGACGCTTGTCCAAATCACCTGCATAGTCTGAATCACAATACCCAACTACACACTGACCATCTTGTTTGTCCTGCTGAAAGACCAAACCAACATCTACGGTGTTTAGAATATACCGCAGAATCCATTTCACAGCTTGCCAATGCTCCTTTCCAGGATCATGCATATACCTGCTCACAACCCCAATTGCCTGTGAAATATCGGGTCTCGTACACACCATTGCATACATCAAGCTACCAACAGCACTTGCATACGGAACCTTTGACATGTATTCCCGTTCTGCATCATCCTTAGGTGACATGGATGCACCGAGCTTGAAATGAGGAGCAAGAGGTGTACTAACTGGTTTTGACATCTCATTTATGCCAAAACGTTTTAGTACCTT